AATTAAAGTTTTAAAAATATAATTAATAATAAATTATTTATTTTTTAAATATTGAAAATTTTTATAAAATTAATATATATAATAATATGTTAATTGTTATATTAATATCTTAATGAAGATATATTATCATAGTATAATTGTAAATTAATAAGTAAAAAATTAAAGTTTTAAAAATATAATTAATAATAAATTATTTATTTTTTAAATATTGAAAATTTTTATAAAATTAATATACTATATATTTAAATTTTTAATATATGAAAACTCTTTCTGCTAATTTCTTGACAATACACAAAAAGATATTCACAAAAAAGTTTTATATTTTTCTGCTAATAAGTCTTATTACTTTTCTTAAAACAACTTGAAAAATAACTTTAAGAGTTTCTTCCAACTTTTTTCTCTTGTTTATATTCCTTTCAAGCAAAAACTTGACTTCTAATAATCAAAAAAAGTCAAGAAACATTTTTTTTACCTATAACAAGAAAGTTCTAAAAAAAAAGAAAAATCAATAGTAAAGTATTGAAAGTCTATCTCTTGTAGTAAAACTGTAACCAGAAATTTTGTATAGTAAATAGACAGGCGAACAAAAGTTTAAACCTTAAAACTTTCCTCTTTACTATTTCTATCTTCTTAGAGTCACTCATTTTTCAAAGTTTTTGAGGAATTTTGTCTACCTTAGTTTAACCTTAAATTTTAGAGTAACACAAAATCAATATATAGTAGTATTTGTTAAAGGCAATTAATTAATATGAAATACACTAGTAACAAAATGTAAACAAAATCTTACTAATTATATTATATGTTTCAATGATATTATTGGTGAAAGAAAGAGAAATAATTAATATGAACTCCTTCACTCCTTCTAATGAAATGTAACTAAAACAAAAAAATCATGATGCTTTTAGGATGGACATTAAATTTTCTAGATAATAAAAAGGTGCTTATTTGTTTAAATTGAGACCTTTAACTTTTTATCATTCTAGTTAGACAAAATAGCAAAGGAGGTTATTTCCTTATCCTGATCTGAAAAGTAGAGAAATATAAAACATTGCCTTTCTTTAGGATTGAAAATGCATTTTTTCAGATATTATGTAATAATATTGCAATTAAAATAAATCCAGTAAAATTCTTTTAACTAGGTGTAGCTGCTAAAAGATATTAAGAGTTATATAACAAAACTAAAAAGTTATATAAGAATCTGGGATCCACTATTAGTTATCTTTTTCTATATGGGTAAATATAAAATCAAGATAAAAAAAAAAAAAGTAATAAGCAAGATATTGGACTTAGGTAGGCAATAAATATTTTAAATAGTCACAAGAAAATAATTAAGAGCATAAATAAATAAGTTCCTCAAATAGTCAGGAAAAAAAAAGGATATTTCAGAAGAATTGATTCCTAATAAGAAGAGATTTCCAACAAAAATCATTTGGAGAATATAGAGTACTTTTATTATTATTATTTTTTTTATATAGTACACTTGTATAGTTTTAAATATTTCTTTTTTTTTTATTTTTCCTCTCTTTTTTTGTAGTTTCTCAAAAATAGTTTCTTAAAAGATAATAAACAATAACAACTTGTTAGCAATGATAAGTAAATTAGAAGAATATTTATCTAAAATCTATTATGGAACAAAATATTGTTCCAAAGGTTGCACTTAGAAGTTACAACTTATTTGAGAATTGAAAACCATTAATGAGTATATCAATATGAGTTTTTAGTTTAATAATGATGCACTTGTCCTATGTATAGTATCTTTATCAGTTTTCATAATGATTAATAAACACATAGTGCTAGTCTAACTATGGATTTAAAAAAAAAAAAATTAATAATAAATTATTTATTATAAAAATTATTTCAATTAATTTAAATTTATTGAGCTATAATTTTAAAAATAAAAACTTTTTTGTGATCTTTTAATCACATATAAAAAATATCTACAAAAAGTTTTTTGTTAATAAAGTTTTAATACTTTTCTTAAAATAACTTGAAAGTTAATAAAGTTTTAATACTTTTCTTAAAATAACTTGAAAATTAATTTAAAAAGTTATTTTTAATTTTTTTCTATTGTTTATAAACCTTTTTGCCCAAAACTTAACTTCTAGTATTTAAGAAAAATCAAGTAATATCTTTAATACTAATGATAAAAAAGTTTTTAAGAAAATTATAAAGTATCTAAAGATCTTTTTAATTTTTGAATAAGAGGTTTATAAAGATTTTTTATAATAAAAAGACTTATTTACTTCCTTTTTAATTGTTTTAGTCTTCTTAAAATTTTTATTTTCATAGTTTTCTAAGAAATTTTGCCTATATTAGTTTGATCCTGAATTTTGAGTAGTATAAATTTTTATCAAAGGTAATTGATTAATATAAAATACATTAATTTTTGAATATAAACAAGTCTCTATTAATTATATTTATATATTTTAATATATTATTGATAATTAAAAAGAATATTTTAAAATATTTGCTACTCAAAAATTCAAGTTCTTTAAAAAAGTTATTTATAAAATTAAAAGACTAAATATAAATAATAAAGATTACAAATCTTTATTTCTTTTTAAGTTTCTCTGGTGATAATAAAACTTTTATAAATAAAAACTGAGATTTGAATACTTTCTTTAAAATATTTCAATTTGATACTTGCTTAAATAAAGAACCAGTTGGATTAACTTATCTAATGTCATAGATAATGATAGAAAAGATTTCTTTAAAGATCTAGTAAAATAAGAAGAATATCTCAATCAGATAACTTTTTTAAAAGAAAAATGACATTGTTTTTAAACTTTTTAATGGGATCTTGAATTGTTTCCTTTTCTTAATTATTAATTTCCTTTCTCCTTTTAACTTAACAATTCATAGTTATCAGGCAATCTATAGTGTATATACCAATTCTTTAGAGAAGTGAAATATTATTTCCTAGATCTGACTTAGAATACTTTGATGTAATTATGAGTTAATTATTATATGAAAAATCTGAAATATTGTAGATAGTTATTAACTTCTCAATAAAGATTAAGCCATGTGACATGGTTGTGGGTTAAAAAAACCCCATTGAGCTATGACTTCAAGTCAAATGCACAAGCTCCTATATCGAATTCAATTAACTTAATTAAACATAGTGTGTGATTTTGCAAACTAATTGCCTTATAATATTAAAAAAACAATTGATAAAAATAAGTATACAATGCAAAATATGCAATATATGATTTGTTAGTTGTACCGCACATCTTTTCGAAGCGGTCAGGAGAGACATTCTGTTGTATAATGCAGGCTAGTATAAAAAAGGTAATAGGTGGAGAATGTAATAACGAAGGTTAAACTTTATACGATTGTAGGTGAAGGTCCTTGGAATCATTGGAACTAGAAATGTATGCGCAGAGAAATATTAATAAATTAATTCCTAAACTATTTATCTTTATGAAGTTAGATAGTAATGGATAATGTGCGGTAAAACAAAAAAAAAAAAAAAAAAAAAAAAAAAAGAAACTATTGATGTAGGCCCGTCAGGTCCCAAAGTATCTGTTCGAAATCTTCCAAAGAGTCGGTCGATCTTGTGGAATGGGGTGAAGCATATTTTGCATCAAAAGAGATGCCTGTTTATCTCGGATCTCATTTAAAAGGTCAGGTGGCACACCTTTCTTTAGCTCATTCAATTCTTCCATATTTTTATATATCGTTTTCTTCCCTCCATTATAAACATAATACATGATTGTCGCAAAACTATAGACGTCTGCGGAGTAATGGACAGTGATCTGATCTCCAAAAGTTTCAGGTGCAGAATGTCCGATGCTATTGTATAAACCACACTCTCCCCCCCTTTTCCTAATAATAACGGTATTGACCTTTCTTGCCGATTCAAAATCCGAGATTCTTGTCTCATAACTATCTTGCTTCCTTTGAAGCGAGATGTTATGGGGATTTAGGTTCATATGCTAAAAATCGATAAACTTATAAGCCAAAAGAAAACATTGATGCGTTAAAAGCATAAAGACGGGACACGATATACACTACCACCACATCTTTTTCGTGCAAATGTTTTAATCCATTGAAAATACTTTTTAGGACCTGTTGGAACTGTTTAATTGATGAATACTCCTGAATTTCGGAACCCAAGGTCCTCCCATGACAAACGAACACAGAAATATAATTCATGGGGGACATCTCCTCCTTATCTTCCCACTCGACCACGCAATCCAAACTTAAGTTTTTAATCATTTCAATCTCATTGTTCCATAATTTTTTCTCCTCTTCAGGATATTTTTTTATTATGACGGATTTTCGGTTGGTCTCATGATGCCCATGAAAAGTTCTACGACGTCCATTGAATCCGTAACAGGGTTTGATTTCGCGGCCAACCACATACTTTAAACAGACTTTCTCTGAAGTCAGCAGATTTTCATGACTCGATGAACTTCCGGAGGAGTAATCATCATTAGAGCTCACTGGAGATGACGGTGTGGATGTTGGTGGAGTAGATCCCAACTTATGTCTCATTTCTTCCGGTGAAGAGCTAAATTTATCCAAGCTTGATCTAGATGGATTCTGTGTGCGAAAAAGTAGACATGAAATTAGCATATTGTCACGCGACACGTATTTAATGAGGATTAAGGTATAGTTACTTTAACGAAACTCCTGTGTTTATAGGGATAGGCTTCTGATGCTGACCGTTGAGTTCTTTGAACGGACGAAAATTCGGGGACACTAGACTTCGAGCGAATATTACTTGGATTTTTTACGGGGAACGTACCGGTACGTGAGTTCGTTTTGATATGACTTGGATGAGCCGGGTTTGTTTCCCGATTAGAATTCACGATCGGTTCGTGAGGTGAGATTGCCCGGTTCGAATGCGAGGAGAGAGAGCTCGTTCGTGATCTACTGATTTCATTAAATTCTTGAACCTTATGAATGGACATTCGGAAAGATATATATCCATGAGTAACATTATCTTTCCTAAATTGAATATCGATAACTTTAAATAATCGGAATCCTCATTAGCAATAGATTCGTTTCGATTTATTCGTGAAAACAGATAAAATAGAACAAACATTACCATTTGTTGAACCTTGATCCCTCAACTCTGTCCAATACATCCCACCACTTTGCTCCTTAATGTTTAAATTCGCCTCTGCAGACCCACCACCGAACTTATACCTTATATTCACAACGGATCGGGAGGGCGAGACCACTTTCAGACAAACCGGAAACTTCGAATCTCCATTATAATGTATGATTTCATAGTTAGGTGTCGTCCCAAATTCCAACGACTTCCAATTATTTCTATTTAAATAATAATAATAATAAAAAGAGTCGATGCATGTTACAGATTTGACGATGCCGATCACATATAGTTTTAATCCCTTACGATATTTTGATATCATGTATTAAGAGGGCTGCAGCAGTTTCAGCCCATATATTGTTTAGAGGTTGTTCCTTCGACAGCAGATAAAAGTTCATTCTTAGTCTGCCAATTAGAATTTGATCCTTGGATAGTTGGACTTCAACTTTGTGATCGTTGCCGCCCCAGCCTCGAAAATCGCACCTAGCTTCGCATATCTTTCCTTCGGGACCGGTTGTTGAAGACCCCCAGAGACGGATGACGAGTTCTGTTTTCGAATGTGAGTGCAATTCGAAGAGTAAGCTTTCATTGAAGAGGATCACTTCGGTATTCCTGTCGCCATTAACCAATGCCATAAAGGGCTGGGTTATTATCAAATATACGACTAGAATTAAAAAACAAAGATGCCGTCTGGTAGTACAACTATCGACTTACATATGCGATTTTGTAAATTCATGATGTTCATCGTAATGTATCTCCAAGGATATTTCGTTGTTTTTCTTCATAAAAGGGAGACACCATTTCTGTTTTGGTCTTTCGCTTTCAAAAACACTAACAAGATTCAACGTTTAAGCCAAAAATATCATCAAGTGGAAAGAAATGCGAAAAGAGAGTAGTTACAATTTGAAGTTGTTCATCAAAAGAAAATTATCGCTAGCTACGGCCATTATTATTTGGATGCGAATTCGAAAAGATCGATATCTTAATTGAAGTTTGTAATGACCTAAACTTTAATGGTGCGAATATGCGGGAACCTGCATGTGTATCAAACAATGAGCAGCCCGAATCCGACGACCCGGTCTCGGAGGGACACAAACACCGAATCATCTGATGGCAATCCAATGATGCGATAGGAGAGATAACGCATTTTGCATGCCAATGACATTTTTTAAAACATTGACAGCGTGAATTGAATGATGAATTCTTGGTATTTGTATACAATTCCGCTTCCAAGACCGTGGAATTGGCAAACATTCTCGCATACGCGTGCGTGTTTTAGTCGAGCGCCATAATAGTGAGAAATTACGGTAACTGCGTCCGCCATACTCATCACTTATGAGAGGGGATGGATCATTTGACATTTAATGACAATCGTTGATTGGCCCGAATATAAAAAATTTCCATATTTAACGACTTTCATTAAAGTGCCAAGATCATTGGACACACTGATCATTGTATTTGAAAATGGAAATGTACAAAGACATTGTTAAAAAAGGGTTTTCCAAATTTGGATTTGATCGCAGGGTGGCTTTTTTCAGATGATGATGGATGACCTTCAGGAAATCCTGCATCTTTCAAAAAAAAAAAAAAAAAATGTATAGTATATATACTGTATATATATATATCATTGGATATAAAAACTCACGTACGTATGTAGCGTCTTTAGGGTTCGAATTACCACAGTAATTAAATGCATAATAGATATAATAAATCACATTATTGTTTAACCTTCTTGTGATACGAGAAAACAACCTTTGCTTTTAACCATCGGTGTAAGAGATCGGAGTGACGAAATTTGTAATAGATTCGCATTACCCTAATATACCTTACAATGTTACTGCAGAACGTTAACTCTATTTAGTTGTGGTGGATATAATAAATTCACCGCATTATACTTCCTTTGTATATTCGTTAATTATTTTGATTCAAAAAAAAAAAAAAAAAAAAAAAAAAAAATCTCAAATACGGTGAATGACAGTGCGAGATGACTTTGGTCGTGGACAAACCGGCTGTCACGTATAAACCGGCTATCATGTATAAACCGGCCTTGGAAATCAAATCAATACAAGATAAACTGGATTTTCATGGAATTTTCTGTATAAGTTTTTAACACGTAAAATTTTGTTGCACTCTCCCTTCCAACGTAACACGGTCAAATATTTTGGTTCGTACCACATTTCTGCAGCAGCGTTATAATTTGTTGCACATTGTAAAATGCCAATTAATTTTGTACTCGTTACTCAATTCTATTATTATTTTAAACTTAGCCGCATGATGCTCGTGTCCGTACTTGTTACCAATAACTTTCTAAGGTCATCGCAGTGTTTATCATACTCCACATTTTAATTTCCCTCTTTCCCTCCATCTCGAAAAAAAACAATACACCTAAATTAATAACGGTGGCAGTGTGTAATGAACAGAATAAAGGTTAAAAATTAGAAAATTCCCCCCTCCTTATTTATATCTCACCTGTTCATAGATCTCGACCTTCATATTTAAGATTCATTATAACTTTCAGGAATTTTATTTAAGCCCCTTGAACTTCGAAAGAATTGAAAGAAATTTATAATGTTTAGTAAAAAATCGAAGAAAAACAACGACTCGCAGGTCAACTCTGGGAACAATAGCGAGTTAACAGCAAGGTCCAGAGATTTAACTGTTGCGGTCAATAGTCGAGCTAATTTCACTTTTCTTGCGACGAGAGCGATTATTCAGACAGCAAAACTTATAGCACCCAAGAAACAAAAGAAAAATGACTCTCCTCAGAAACCCATACCCGAGTCCTCCGCGAGTACCGCTTCAACTTTATCACCTTACACTCAAAAACGTGTTTCCAAATCTTTAAACGAGGTAGCCTTAAATCCTCGTCCCGAACACCAACGACGCCCCTCGGAACCAAGCCGAATTGATGAACGCGTTTTGCACAATTATAATACTAATTCCAATGCAGTTAACTCTCGGCGCGCGAACGCAAGTGGTGGTTCCGCGCGAAAAGATCAAAACAAATCTATTGAAAGATCCTCGTCAATATCGAACGTTCCAATTATTAAGGAAGGATATTTGAACAAGAGAACCGATTTCGATGTTAAGTCAGTGTCCACCTCACGCGGTTGGAAGGTGTACCGTGTGATACTAAAGGGTTCAAAATTGTACTTTTATAAGCCGCCTTCCGAGGCGGTGTTGAAAACCTTTTTTCCGAACAACAAAGATCTAAACATGGGCAAAGATATGGCCTCAACCCTTTCACCCATTAACGAACGCGGAATGCAACTTAATCCATCAAACTTTGAATCTGGCGCTAGTAAATTGATTTTCGAAGGTGGTTCGACGAACGCTGAAATTGAATTCAGTCCACCATTGATTTCCAAGTATTATTATGGTGAAACTTGTTATGAGGTGGATCGCACTCCGGCTATGAGGTTTAAAAAACACGTGTGTCTGCTCATATTTGAGGACAATGTGGTCATATGTAAACGCAAATGGGTCAGATACACGGCTGCAAATCTACGACCAATAATAGATGCTATTGGATTTGGTGGTGGAAATCATCCGTCTACCAACGTCAATGACATAAATGGTCAAGACTGGGATACAAAATCGGTTGGTAGTGCCCGCGGAATACCTGAAACCGACGGATTCACTACAAACAAGGGTAAGGGTTACTATACCAAATGGAAACTAGATGCATTATATTCTATCCATAATATCGATGTAATCCCAGACCCAAATCTGCCTACTAGTCATTCTCCTTACATAGCACCATCTTCTCAACCATCGCTTTTTACCGCGAGCAGACGAAACGATGATACCGCCTCACTTCGATCCGGTTCATCATCTGTGTCAGCAATTGCCAATGTTTCTTCGTCTTCCGGTGCCATCCTTTACCTTAACATAGTTGATAGTCGTGAGAAAGACAGTTGTCGTGTCTTCGTCGCGCCGAACAACGAGGCGAGATCATTGTGGGTCGCAAAGTTGTGGGATGCCAAGAAGGCAAGTCTAAGGAAGATGATAAGATTGCCTGTGATTGAATCGTCGACAAAGGAATCAACCGAAGAAGCTGAATTTTACGAACAAAACGGATACCGTGGTGGTCTCAATGGATTTCCGGAGTTGACGGGGACCGTCGGTGGGGAAAAGAGTGACGGTACGACCACCACGGCAAGGAGGGTGAGAGCGTATTGGGGTGTCGGCAGGCATCCGGAATTAGTTATCAAGGAATCGGATGTGATGGATGAATCGACCGAGGAAGAGGACATTTCAAAATCAGATGACCCTTTGGTGATATCATCGACGTCTCAACGATTGATTCGTGGAGGTTCTATCGACTCGTTAATCCATGAACTCATGTTCGAGACGCAAAAAGGAGTTCACAATGATGACGCGCTTCTTCACGTCTTCCTCCTCACCTACCAATTATTCGCCGAACCCAGTCACATCTTTCGCGAATTGAAAAGATGCACTGGTATGCGGAAGGATGACAATGAGAATTCACCGAACAATCAAATAATCAAGAGGTTGATATTTATACTCACCACCTGGTGTCAAAGTTATGGGCGCGATTTGCTACGTGAGGATGTCTGGAAGGGCATGCTGGAAATTATAGAAGAAAGGGTGAGCAACGAAAGTGTCACCGATGCCGAGGATTTAAAAAAATTGGTGCAAGACACTCGCGATAGATTGATGAATGAAAACGAAGAGGAAGTCTTGGTGAAATCATTCCCGAATCATCTTCCCACCTCTTCACCACTCTCCTTGGACCTCTCGAATTTACTCGTCACAGGCTTAACCCCTGCATTATTCCTAAAGATGACACCCGAGGAGTTGGCGCAACAGCTCTATTTGTACCATCTGTTGCAACTCAAGAAAACGAACCCAAGGCAGGATCTGAAAATTTTTGTTCCATCCAAGAATCGTTCGGACTCGGCTACAAGAGAGTGCCCATTAAATTTCACTCCTGTCGCGCCTCACTTCATTACCCGATTGATATATCATCATGTATTAATCGCGTCTCAACAATCGGCATACACCAGTCGACGACCATTACTGCTGACACATTGGATACAGACCGGGATCGCATGCAAAGCTTTGGGCGACATGGCGAGCTGGATGGCGGTTGCCTCGGCTATTTGTTCGCCCGGAATCGTGCGCTTGAAGGAAACATGGAGGAGGGTTGGTGAACAATGGAGAGGTGTCGTCATGAATGATTGGGTTCCATTTTTATCATCATTAGGCGGTCTGTACGGAGAGATAGATCCAGATGACGGAAGCCCATTGCAATTAGTCATACACGATAAAAAGGAAAAAAGTAAGACAAAGCCGATTCCTTATTTCGGATTTATCACTCTTGCACTAGAACATTTGAATTCGACAACTCCTTCGGTGATTGACCGGAATATTGGGGAAACGAACCGTGTTGGCTCAAGAAACAACAGTCTCTCGGGAATGGGCGTGATAAATTTCGAAAAATATTGGAAAATGTATGATGTCATCATTTCGTCACTTGATCAATGGGATCCGTCCGGGGATTACATGGATTATGATATCTCGCTATGCCCTTTCTCTCCGTCAACTCTTCTACAAAAATACTTTAACAATTTAAATTCCATTCCGGCTTCTTCGACGCTGGATGCGTGGCAGTTGTTCGATTCCTCTTTGATGTGTGAACCTCGCCTCCATGGTCAATACTTGGAACATCACGCCCGTCAACGGAAGACGCACTCCGCCTACATCCCGTTAGTATTTACCGAGGTCATACCATCCAACCGATTGTTCGAAAAACAAGCGTTCTTGAGCGCAAGCGGTACATTAGGTAAGATGGGGAGGGTTACTGAAACGGTTGTGCTGAAAAAAAAAAAAAGGGGTACAAACTTGCAGCTAACAAACGAATTATTTCACCAAAATCAGATGTAGGCTCGTTATCGCCCACAAGAATGCATTCCGGCGTGAGTTCAACCGATCAGCTTCAGGGGGGTGTAAGGAAAAGAACTTTGTCGTTCCCACCATCAAAAATAGGTCCACTGACCTCAACCACATGGAATACGGGTTTGGATCTGGTGACACGGAATTGGTTAGGCGGCCTTGTGCAACGCAGAGGCGGTTACAATTCGTTGTTGAGGTGTATGAAAGATATTGCTGGCGTTGGGGAGATGCTCATGTTTGTTAAAGATGGGGAGTTGGTGTTCAAATCTGTTGTGGATGCCACTGGTTCAAGGCCTGCTAGCATTGTGGAGTCATCGTCAGGAACTGCGTCTAGGAGAAATTCTTCATATGGCACCTCCCTCCATCCGCAGCGCGCGGCGGAGCATGACGCCCTGATGGTGGTCGTCAAGGCGGGGACCCTGGAACGTTTGGTGGATGTCTTGGTTAACGGCGTTGCGGCGTACAGTGCGAGTGTGGTGGATGATAATAGTGAGCCTCCGTTGAATATTGGAAAACAATGCCAACTTGGGATCAACTCGGGAGAATACATGGCGACATTCTTTAGTACATATCGTAGTTTCTGTAGTCCAAACTTATTGTTCGACATTTTAAAGAGACATTTCGTCGACGCTAAAAAAATATCCAAGAATTCGGTGGCTTCTCAGAATCGGTTGGAATCTAACACATCCTCGACATCCCACGATGATCTCGGAAAAGAATCCAAGGATGATGTGATTTATGACTTGAAAATTTTGATGTCGATTTGGTCAAGAGTTTTATCTGTGTTCCGATATTGGATTGAAGAATTTTTCCATGATTTTCTGGATGATTTGAGTTTAAAAAATCATCTGTTGCATTTTCTTAACGAAGCAAAATCGGAAATAGAATCTTGGATTAGCAAGGTGTCTGACAGACTTTTATTACCTTTGGTTGAAGGGGCGAGAGAGTTGGTGATTTCTACGAGGCGCTTGGCAATGACCAAGAGCCTCGAGCCTGCCTATGACGTGCAAAACGAGAAGATGGCAAATCTGGTTGACAAGGCCATGAACGAATTATCGCTACCATCTTCGGGTAAAAAGGAAAGAAAGGATGACGGGATAGTGGACCCATCTTCAGGTATTCATGATGCTCCGGCTCTTTTAGATGGCATCGATCTTGTTGTTCTCGAGCTTTTCGAAGCGGTTACTCCGCAAGACTGGTTTCTTGCCTTTGAGGTTTTGGAAACACAATCGACTAGCGTTTTGGGATGGTATCCGAAAAAACAAACGGGTTACGCCAATGACGATGAAGTAATTATTACCGACATATTCACCACGTTGCACACTACCGAACGAGCCGGAAACTCTGAGGAAAATGTTCTTCGCTCTCTTCCGCGTTCAATCCAGGCCCTTTGCCGTATTCACGACGCCATACGCAAATGGGTGATTCAAGAGATTTCGTTACCTTCCATTGAAATAGAATCACGAGTTGGCAAGATGAATGTTTTTCTTGACATGATTTTGCTGAGCAGAAAACGAATGGTTAGATTGGAGGTTTATCCCAAGGAAGTTGCGAGACGTGATTCTGAAATAAAGAGAAGTGTCCCCTCATTTGTAGAAAGTGCAATAGTCAGTGCCTTAATAAGTCCCGAAAGTAGATTATTTGCTAGAGCCTGGTCGGAGGTTGCCATGAGCCGTAATGGTAGCGTGGAGTCTCTTGATTCCTTATTACAAAATGGTTTAACCAAAGCCCATCCTGATAACTCGAACTTAGCCATGGTACCATGCATCGGATGGCTGTTTGAGAGAATGTTGGAAATTTGTTGCAATATTCCGGATATGTCATTTGAATCCGAAAAACTAATAAATTACGACAAGCGCCGTTACGTGTACAACCTGATACAAATATTTGTTCGAATGCAATGTGAATTGACCGAACAAGTCCAAGATCGAAAACCAACCGTAGACGTTCGTTACTTGACTACCATGAACTTGCATTCGGGTAATTCGAAGAATGACTTGCGTAACTTCAAAGAGACCGCCCTACGAGAAAACAATTCATTACGAATGGTTAGCCCACCACCCAGGCAAACGAAATTTCTACGACCTTTTAGCAAACATGTTGCCGAACAGCAAGAGAAGATAAGACGCGACCAAAAAGAAAGGGATCGTTTGAAGAAGGAATTTCGTGAATCTCAGCATAAATTGCAAAAGAAGCAAAACGAGCAAGCAAAACTTCTCGAGAAACGGTATCGAACAAGTCATCGGCCGAGAAATAAATCAAGGGTTGAGACCTTTATAAAGCACGCTGTGCGCCCAATCTCCGTGGCTTTTGCAGGCACGTGGATGCATAATTCTGGAAATTCAAACTCGGCACGAAATTTATCTTCAAAGACACATACTCCAAATTCTAAACCTGTTCTCGTCATAAATTTGATCGATTGCAAGACTTCCGTTGACTATAGTGTATCTCTTGATTTTGTTTTTCGAATCACTAGCGAGGAAGGTGGCGGTCAGTATTTGTTTCAAGCGTTAGACTATGAGAACATGAATGATTGGATGCGTGTTATCGATGAGGTTGCCAAAGAGGGTGCAGTGAAAAGGATGACAATATTTAAAACTGAACAACACATTAATCCTAAGGAAGAAGAGGTTTTGGAAAAAACGACAAAGACTCGTAATTCTGGTATATGTTGGTTAATTTAAGTTTTCGGTTTTTTTGAATCGTTTTTGATCTGTCTTACGGCGCACGGTTGCCTTCGTAAATCTTACAAACCTCATCTTTTTAGTATATGGTAGGGATCTCTCAACGTTAATGGCGGGCGGTAAAATTCCTGTGTTAGTTGAAAAATGTATAACAGAAATTGAAAAAAGAGGTTTGTGTACAAAATTTTTTATCTTTATCTTTTCTTTATTCAACACTAAAAATCAATAATGACTCCTTAATTAAGGTTTAGAAGAAGTTGGAATTTACAGAGTTTCCGGCTCCGCAGTTGCGATAAATAAGCTTAGGGCCGCATTTAATAAGAGTAAATATTGCCAGTTTTTTTGTTTCCGTGAGTCAACCGATTTCTCGCTTTCGATTTTAAATTGTTATTCGAACTTATGAATTCTGTAGACGCTGATGCTGTTGATTTGAGTGGAGATGAATACGGCGATATAAACATTGTATCTAGTGCTCTCAAACTCTTTTTCCGTTCTCTTCCAGAGCCCGTAACCACGTTTGGGCTGTACGATGAGTTCATCAATGCTGCGAGTAAGCTTGTCTCCAGAAATTTTTTTTTGCATTTAAAATTCCTTTTAACCGTTATCCACTCGTCCTGCTAAAGGTATAAAAGATAGAGATGAACGGTTTCTTGCCATCAAGGACGTTCTTCACAAGTTGCCCATACAGAATTACATATTGCTGAAAAGATTAATCGAGCATTTGGAAAAGTACGTTTGTCTTTTTCATTTATTTAATTTACCTCATTCATTTGTTTATCATATAATATTCATTTTCTCCGACCCTCGATTACAGAGTTACCGATTATGAGGAAATTAATCACATGTACGCTGAAAATTTGGCTATTGTCTTTGGCCCCAACCTGCTGAAATCACGGGATGACAATGATTCGATGAGGAATATTGGTCATCACTCAAACATTGTCAAATGCTTGATTCTTCAATATCATTGGTTCTTCAACACCGAAGATGAAGCCTCAGATATTGAATATCAGGAGGAGCTTTTGGATCCAGATATTGAAGTTAGTGAACCAGAGGGTGAAGCTGACGGACCTCAAGAAAATAACAATTCAATGGATGACGCTTCTTCATTTGATAATCGGTCTGCGACTTCGGAGAATTATGCTCCCTGGCCCTCTCCGGAACCCATTTACGGGGAGAATTTTGAAGAAGCAGTTGGAAAAGGTTTATCAGAAGAACCGGTCGATCAAATTCTTGAGGATCATGAGGAAGAGCACTTTTCAGAGACCGAAATTAATTCACAACAGATTCCATCGATACATGTTCACGGAGAAAATCAATTAAGAGAAGTAGTGCTGACAGACGTCACGGAAGAATCCGATGAAGAATCATCTCAACTGCAAGAACATCCCTTGGATACTGAGGATAGTTTACACCAGAGATCGGATCTTCCATTAATACAAATTCAAGGTGAAAGTCAGTCAGACAACGAAAATGATGAGCTGTCTCACGACCACCTTTTTGAGACCGAAATTAATTTACAACAGCTTTCGTCGATACAATTTCAAGAGGATGATTGGCCAAATGATGAAAAAGATTTAAGGGACGTCATGGAGGGATCAAAAGAACAGCTTTCGGAAACTGAGGTTAGCCTACACCACCAAGAATTAAACTCTCTGTCAACACAAATTCAGGAAGAAAGTCAATTAAACGATAAAATAGTTTTGAGAAATGTCCCAGAGGGATCAAATAGTTTGCTAATCCAACCTCAGAGTGATCAGCTGAAAGACGATACAATCAAACCAACTTTGACGGCTGCTTTAGAAGAATCAGGGGAAAAATCGACTGAATTGCCGAAAGAGCCCAATTCGAAAACGGAAATTAACCTGAGTCTAGAATTGTCCATAACAGATGTTCAAAAGAGTTGGTTAAATGATGATGATAAAAGGGAAGCATTTTTGACTGATGTGATAAGAGAATCCTCCGAATCATTGATTAAAATTAATTCACTCCCGGAATCAGATCTCCCATCAACACAGAAACAAAGTCATCTAGATGATGATGAAAGAGAAACAATATTAAATAATGTCATGAAAAAATCTGTCGAGCTTGTAAATGTGGATATTCCTTCGGTGCAAGTTCAAGAAGACCAGTTAAATGATTTTGTAGCCAAAGAAATGGCTTTGACTGATGCGAAAGAATCAGGCGAAAATTTAGCTGGGTCATCGCAAGAGTATCCTTTTGAGGCTGAATTCGATCTTCCATTAGTGCAGGTTTACAAAGAGAGCCAGCCGAATAAAGACTTTGTCAACAACTCTGTTATAGCTGATTCGGAAAAATCAGACGAAATAACACATGAAACTAACTTAAATAAGAGACAAAGTCTTCTGATAATACCGGTTGAGGAAGAATCTAAATTAGATTCGAATGGCACTAAAAGAATGTCCATTTTGACAGTTATGAAAGAACCTAAAAGTAAAACCGAATCTATCAAAAAAGAATTTATCCTAGATGTGGAATTAGATGCATCAGAAAAACCAATGGTCGAACAACCCTCCTCTCAGGATTAACTTATATGGCAAACAGATCTACCTAATTTTCTTTTTTAATATCTTATCTGCGCTTGAACAGTTGACCATCATGGATACATTTTATAATCATATTGTATGTATGCGTTGTATATATTTTAGTTTAAGAATAATTATTTATAGCGTTAAAATTTTTATAAAAAAAAAAAGTTTTTCACTTCCTATGTAACTATAGTTATTTATTTGTCAAATAAAAAAAAAATTGATTAATATTTTATAAAGTAAAATTTTAATAATTTTAATAGTTGTTTGTTTTTTTTTTTTTTTTTAAACCCTCTGTCAGGCTAGGTATGTGTGCTTTATTAAACATATGTATACTTTACATTAAA